GAAGGAAGAGCATATTTAACATTTTTATCTATTTATATTATGTTTTACCATGAGTTAAGAGAACTGGGATTTGGGGGTTTACATTTTTTTAATACTCATTTGTTAGTAACATGCAGTGAAGCACTTTGTGAATGCAGTGATGCTTTGTGAATACATAATTTATCTTCAGTCCCTTTCCATTATACATTTTGTATTGAATCAGTCTAATATTTTAGTTGCTGTGCATATATATGCATGCTCATATATTAGAAGTGGGTAAAATGTAAATTCACACATATTGGAAGAACAATTTTGCACAGTTTTTTGGCTAGGTAAAAAGGGACAGGCAGCATTTACTCAAAGCAAGTAAAGAGCAGGCAAATCTCTCATTTCTGTGCATGGGTATAACATCTGAAACCACAGTTGCAGTTTGGAATTATGCAGTAAATATGCCAATCATATGTTTGAAAAGTGGGAGTTTTTTCCTTTTTTTTTTATTGAAGAAAGAAGATATGTTCAAATTGGAATCAAATTACAGTAGTGAAATTCACCTGACAATTTGACTGCTGGGGGAAAAAATCATCTGTTTCTATGACTGAAACTCACAATAGGGTTTTCAGAGAACATTAAGTTATGGGAGTGGTAGATAACATTCTGAAAGGTTTTTGTGCAAAAATTAGAAAAGAATAAAATTTCTTAATTTAAAATTGCAATTGAGTCTTCTGTAGATGAGGTATAGCTGAGAATTTGTCATTTTTTTCAATACTCTTGAAGCATTTTATTTTTAATGCAGGCAAAATATGATGAATTTGCCTTTTCCTGACCAGCAGCAAGGTTCACTAATGCGTGTTTTAAAGAGATGTAATGGGGACTTTTTTGCAAGTTAAAGTAAATTGTAAAAGCAAAATTACAAAAACCCCATAATATACTGTGGAGATGCAAGATGTCTGAAAGCCAACATAAACATATTGCAAATCTGAGAGCCCTTCTTGAAGCTAACATGGTATCTGTAGCATTCTGAGCAGTTGTGCAGGCTTTTAACCAGAACCTTGTGTTTGCAGGATTGTATTTCACTAATTTTATCCAGATATATAAATTATTACTTCAGTGGTGGCAAGCCATAAAATGAACATCCAGAGCTGTAAGGAAGGAAGTGGAATTTCAGTTCTCTTCAGACAGTTTTTGTGCTCAAGTAGGATAGCAGTCTTGGCTCTCCCTCTCCTGAAGTCGCCAATAACTGTATCAAATCATAGGAGTCACGGTTTATAGAAATAGACACAGGTTCCTTGCCTATCTAAAGAGATTAGGAAGTCCCCCAAAGGATAGAATTTCACTTTTTATCTGACATGTCTGTTGCTATTTGTAGCACTTTGCACATGATCTCGAAGCCTTAGGCTTCATGGAAAGCATGCTTATTTTTTTCTAGATATTTTATTTCAGTTCTGAATGATCATTAGAAAAAATAATCATGTGCCAGCTTTATTTTATGCTCTTCACAATTTTCTAGCTGTTGCCTGAGTCTGAGGGCTGATCAGCCATCCACATGGTCCTTTTAGACTGACTTACATCTTCACTATTTCAATTTTTGTTGCACAGCAGCTGCCTTGAAGTATTTGCTTTGTGGTGACAGTGGTTTCCAAGTCAATATATTGTCATAGGAAACACAGAGCTTGAGGCAGTATAATAGATGGGGCAGTGTTGAAAAGAGCAAAAATATTTTCCCTCCAAAGCATATTTAGCACCT